CGAATTATGTAGATATACCAACATTTTATAAAGCATATTACCTCTTAATTTTTGTTGTCCTTTTACTGACAATCCAGCTTCTATATAGATATGTATTATTCTTGAAAGCACGACTCTTAAAAGTGCTCCTCTAACTATATATGAGGTTAATCAATAGCTGAAACTCTTACTTATAATTTGTGGCCATGCACTGCCAATTTGCTTAGTGAGAATTTGTATCTCTAGACATAAGAATCTGATCTTTGTAAATTGTACTAAATCCATCACTGTACCACTAATTTGCATTCTAGAATGATCAAGATGCATACCTTATTTGCTTTAGCTGTCGTACTTTGCGGGTAAGAATCATAATATGCCTCCCAAATTGAGGTCAGATGCCAAAATTTTGAGTGACATCCTCATCTATTTATCTCCACCAGTTCTTCGAAATATTGATTATCAATAGAAACGCGGATATTTATGATTTGAGAAACTCGATATTATGACTTTCGATGCCAACAGATATTATTACATCAAATTGCATGCAACTGCACTTGCACTCCACCGCATCTTTTGAACAGAGAGTAAGAAGTATGGTAACAAACTCCAAGAATTCTTAATAGATGCATATATAAACTTGGAATAAAAATGTGAATTGAGGACATATGATATTTACATTGTTGATGTGACTCCATGAATTCTTAATAGATGCATATATATACTTGGAATAAAAATGTGAATTGAGGACATATGATATTTACATTGTTGATGTGATGTAAACGTTTCCAATTATGATTTTTTTCCCCCTCCCTTAGCTATGTTTACACATTTGGTAGGTACTTAGCAAATAGATCGTCCAACTTTCTATTAGTCGCAATGCATCTAATTTTGCCATTGTAATATTTTTGTAGGGTAAGAAGTGCACTGCATATCCCGCAGTGAAACTGAATGTTGTTCTATCAGGGGCGACGTGGTTAGAACCTGAACCGATTGACCGGTGCTTCACTGATGGAAATTTGGTGACTGGAGCAGCTTGGCCAGGTCATCCTGAGTTCATATCACAGTTCATGGCACTGCTTGGTATTCGTGTATCTTTCTAGTTATGTTCGTTTCTTACTCTGTATTATATATGTCTAATGTAAAACGAGTATATAATGCTTGTACCTATGAGATAATCTGAAGTATGGTTTGCTTGTTATACATGGATAACTATTACTTATTAATTTTAGTTCCGTTCCATCGTGGACATTCACCATAAATTACGACCTGAGCCTTGCTGATTTGTGGCTGAAATTTCATTAACATTATAGGTTTTACTACTTGCACCGATGAGTGATGGTTAAATTTGAAACTTATTTTCAACCAAACATTCTCCTCTATAATAATATTACAAGTAAATCGAAGAGTTTTCCATATGTTTTAACCACAAAAATTTCAATAAAATACTATTCAAAAATGCATTTTTGTTCAAAAAGGAAGTTCAAACAAGGTGAATTTAAAATTAAATTTGAAGTTCAGTGAAACATGTGAAATAAAAAAAAAAAAGGTAATTAGCACATAACGTCTTCACCTTTTATTGTTAGTGGAAAACGTCTATACTTTTCATTTTTTGACATTTTCATCCTTATTTTTACCTTTCATTGCGCAAAATGTCATTTTCATTTATTTTTTCAATTAAAAATTGTGAAATGACGAATATACTCCTCTTTAAATAAAAGAAAAGGAAAAATAAAAAAGTAATTGCAGCTATAGTCTCAATTTTTTTAAAAAAAGCACAAATCAATTCTAAATAAATTATTAAAAGGGTAATTAGTACATAATGTCCATAAATTTCATCATTGTTGCGAAAAACGTTCACCTTTCATTTTTTAATATTTTCACCCTTAATTACACATTTGATTGTACAAATATCATTTTCATCCAATTTCTCAATAAAGAACTGTGAAATAATAAATATATCCTCCTATTTAAATAATTTTTTTAAATTTCTAATTCTTTAATAATTTATTTGGGACTCGTTTGCTTTTTTTTTTTTTATAAAAAAATAATTTTTTATTAATTTATTGGGGACTCGTTTGTAAATTTTTAAAAAATTGGAACTATGATTGCAATTAATTGTTTAGCTTTTTATTTAAATAAGAGGGTATATTTGTCATTTCATAACTTTTATTGAGAAATTGGATGAAAATAGATAAAAATGTTAGTTTTGTTTAATCAAATGTGTAATTAAGAGTGAAAATACCAAAAAAATAAAAGGTATAGACCTTTTTGTAATAATAGTGAAAGTTAGGGACATTATGTGCTAATTACCCTTTTATTAATTTATTTGAGACTCATCTGCGCTCTTTAAAAAAATTTGGAACTATGATTGCAATTAAATTTTTCTTTTTTCATTTTATTTTATTTAAAGAGAAGGGTATAATCGTCATTTTACGATTTTTAATTGAGAAAATGAATGAAAATGACATTTTGCACAATGAAAGGTAAGGATGTTTTCCATAATAACAACGAAAGGTGTGGACGTTATGTGCTAATAACCCTAAATAAAAATCTTGTAGCTTAACTGAGATTTGATCGAAAGTTGAACGACTGATGAAATTTAACCACATTATCGTATTACAAGAAAAAAAAAAGTAAGAATCAAAGAATTCGCTGTTGCTACAAATATAAGAAGTTGAAGTAATATTATTTAGCATCAACTATGCTTAGCATCAAGTTAGGTGAGCACGAGATTTTACCTTGAATTATCTATTATAAGGGTGTGTTTGAATCACATTATTTTGGAATACTGTATTTTGGAATCATAGATTGATGAAGAATGTGTGGTTGAAAAAGAAGAAAAATTATTGATGTGATGAAAATATTATTTTATTGAAAAATATGTAGTTGAAAATGAGTAGAAGAATGAGAATGAAAATTTTAATGTTGCTCAAACGGGGCTAAGTAAATAATTAAATCTAGATTTTAATTCAAACTTACATATTTCTTTTCCTTCTACTAATAATTTTCTCAAGTAATATTATTTAGCATCAACTATGCTTAGCATCAAGTTAGGTGAGCACGGGATTTTACCTTGAATTATCTATTATAAGGGTGTGTTTGTGTCACATTATTTTGGAAGACTGTATTTTGGAATCATAGATTGATGAAGAATGTGTGGTTGAAAAAGAAGAAAAATTATTGATGTGATGAAAATATTATTTTATTGAAAAATGTGTGGTTGAAAATGAGTAAAAGAATGAAAATTAAAATTTTAATGTGACTCAAACATGGGCTAAGTTGGACAAATTTTAATTCATTGACTAATTAAAGATGATCTCACAGTTATATAGAGATGACCCCACAAATTTTGAATTTGTTCATTCAGGAATTCACACAAAATGGAATGAAGAATTCTCACCGGAGAGCTGTTTGGGCCTACTTTCGAACTTTTAGGCTAATTAGAAGTCGAAACAAAAGCCAAAATAGTTAGAGATTTGGTCAATAAACGAAGGAAATTAAAGATAGCAATATCTTAAGGGTTTTGTTTGACAAGACTTTGCTTTTATTTCTACTTTTTCTAAAAGTTTTTTTAGATAGATGAAATATTTTTTAAAAACAATTATCCAAATATGTTTCAAATTAAATTCTTAATTTCATAAATAATTTTTAATTTTTCAAAAACTCAGTAAAACGGACCCACGGTTTATCTCTTTTTATTTCACAAGGCACCTAAATGGTATAAACAGCTGGCGCCCACAGAAAAAAGTAGAAGAAATAATAAATATTCTTGTTAGATAAATTACAATAATCAAAGTGAAGAGTCATATCCACTATAGATAAAGTTCACAGCAAACGCGCTTTATGACTGTCAGGTCGTATAGACACTTTTTGAACCCGGTCCACTTGGTCGATATTATTCTAGCATATAAAATCTAATGGGTACCTACAGCTTGTTTGGTAGCTATTAAAATCGAATTAAAATTAAAAAATTAATCGCTATTATTTCTTTTTTTAGAAGAATTTGTTGTTAAAAAGAATTTTTTTTAGAATTTACATGTGATATTATTTGAATAATGCTATTTTTACATGAAAAGTTACACAATAATTTATATACAGATAATGTCAGTGAAGATTTTTTTTTTTTTTGAAAAATTCTAATTCGATCATATGTCATCATATCATGTTAATATGTAAGTGTAGCACAATCGATATTATATTATTGAAGAATGTGTGATTAAAAAGAAGAGAGAAAAACGTATTTTGAATAAAATGGAGCCCAAACAGGAGCTTAGTTCGTAGTTTGACGAAAATAAAATTCTTAATAATTATAAATAATCACTAGCTGTATATTGAGGAATCAATGACTATATGTGTATATGTGTCATGTGTGTGTGTTTTAATTTTTGGAAACATTTTTTGACTTTTTAAAAATCCTATCAAACATGTCCTTAGTCTTGTTTATGAATAAATGGTTCAATAATTATATAGAAAAAGTTTCAAGTAAAATTAAAATATGATCAAATTCAAATTATATTAGTCAAGTTGAAGGAATTACATCAAACTAATTGAACTTTGAAAACATTAACTTAATACACTCGCTTTCTACAAAAAAATTAAACTTTTAAATAAATGTGTCGACACGATAAGTTAAAAGATAAAAAAATAAAATAAAAAAAATGATTGTGTTGTCATCTTCACGCTCCGTTAAGGTTGTCGGCTTTGATTTTGCAGATTTCGATTTTAAGATAAGGGGACAGAAAAGGAAACTGGATAACACTGATATGGAATCAATCAATCATACATTTTATTATTTATAGTCCTTGCTCGTTCTTATCTTTTCCCCCAGCTTTCTCTTATCCATCTGCCCATAATTTTTACTCCCAACAATTTCTAAATTTTCAGTTCATTAAAAACAGCATTACACTGCATAGATATATATGTATTTTATGTAATATATAACTGTATGGTGGATCGATGGAATTAGCCAAGATTTACACATTTTGAAGAATATTAAGATGATGATGAACTTTATAATATAAATGGAGTCCTTCATCAACCCAGAAAACAAGAATGGGATCATGGATGAAGAAAAAATTCAAGATTCTGTCTCATCTTCCTCTATAACTACTTTTGAATCTTCAGAATCTGATTTATTTGAAGAAGTAAACTCATCTGATAAGCAAGCAAATGGCCCTTTTCAAGACATGTCTTCTTTGCTTCAACAACTTCCCATCAAGTAAGTTATTGTGATTCATTTAAGTAAGATTTTACTTATAAGTAAATACGTTCAACAGTGTGGTTTTTGGTTTGCAGGAGAGGGCTTTCTGAGCATTACAATGGCAAGTCACAATCTTTTACTTCTTTATCGAAAGTGAGGTGCTTAGAAGACCTTGCGAAACCGGAGAATCCGTGTAATAAGAAAAAGAAGCTAAAATCGTGCAAAAGTGATGGAGGAATTTTAGAAGGGTACTACCGGTGTAGGCGGCCTTCTTCGAGAAGCAAGATTGCTTCAAGAATTATTCCAAAGAAGATATCAAGAGGGTCTTGTGGGAGGAGGAATTCCAGGCCTCCAATGCCTCCACCCCATAGTCATAGATCATCTAGCTTTACAAATCAAACCCCTTTGTTTACTTGAAGGGTTTTTATATATGGTATTAGCAAATCAAATCTTGTTCTGTTCTGCAATATGTATGCGAGTCTAGGTCTTGATATATACTATAAACTATCTTCAATTTCCATGAACAAGAGAGATAAGTCTGTCTTAGACTAGACGATAAGTAAGGGTTGGAGAAATCAATGATAAAATTGTGTGACACGTTTTATAATGTAAAGTAGAATGTCAACTAGAATTTATGTGTAGTACCAAGATTGTTTGCTTAATTGACAACCATGTAGCCTGTCACGTAGCTAGTTGCAACATCGTACTAAATGAAGAAACACCTTGACTACAGTGTAATAGGCAAATCAAAGTTTTTCATTATGGACAAAACATCGTGACAAGATAAGAAAACAGTCTGTAAAGGCAATACGTTTGCACGAATTTGATAGAGAAAAAAACAGTAGAAAGCCATGGCCCATGTATATAATCTCCGGAAAAGAGATCAATCCTCTATTTGGGCGCTAAAGCAGTTGGGCCAATGGTCCAAGTTTATTTTAAAAACTGAGGAATATATTGGCTGAATTAAAATAGAGACAATGATTTGGACTAACGGGGATGGCATCGTTGTTGGTGTTGTTTAATAGACGTCAAGCGCCACTTTTTTCAGATAGGCTGGTACAAGTCAAAGCCATTCTTTATTGAATCTGAGCCCGTGTGTTGTTCTATACTGGCAATGATTCTTGCAAGTATTGTTAACTCGAATTCATTATTGAATGGTCTTCCCCCCTTCACCAAATTTTTGATACTCTTCGGGATTCAAACTCACGTTCAACCTAGGATTTTAAAACCTTGTTTCCAACATGTTTATATGGTTAATACGATGGGGATATTAAGCGGAAAGAACATGGACAAGTAGGGAAGAATATTACATATGCTTAGGGCATAAATATATATGAAATACAAAAAATTTAGATAGGAAACGTTACAGTGCTTTAATAAAAAAAAACAGACGATAAAGACATCTTGAGCAAAGAAAGATTGTCTTGAGCTCCCAAAATGTCTAAATTGAAACGATATGGACAATTTGTGCAATGAACGCAAACGATAGGTACATTTTGAGCCAATTACCCATATTTCACGGAAAGATTTAATGGAACATGATATAAATGACCAACTTTGCAAGAAATGTTTGAAATGAGGGTGTAAATGTCAAGTTTAAAACAATAGAGACTATTTTTACAATAGGTGCAAACGATAGGGAGCTTTTTGCTAATTACCCTTTTAGATATAAGTGGGACCTTCCAAATTCAGCCATGAAACTTTTTGGGTGGACCGTGGAAGGTGCACTTTAGGCTAAGGGTGATAATTGAGCATTTCTTGTCTACATCTCTCTTTAATTGATGCTCCAAGCCTCCAACTGTCACGAGGACCAATTGATAATAATAATAATAATAAATAATGAAAGACAAAAATCTTTAAATGGTTGCCCTTGTGAGGGTGATTGTGATCAGTGATCCAACCATGCACCCTACGCACAAAAAATCAGTGCATATTCATATTCAAATCCCATTTTTTTTTCTTCTTAAATTTTTTCCTCGAAATAATGGGAGGTGATTTTAGGGTTTTCTTTCATTTTTCAATACTTTCAATGTAAATACTGTATATTATGAGGCTGTCTGGTTGTGCTTTTCTTTTGCAAAAGAATTGATTTTTTGTCCGTTGAACAAGGCAACGGTCATAAAATGGACAAAGCTGCTGACTTTTGTGTGTCGTGTGTCAGACCATAACGGCAGGGAAATCAATTTTGTCCAAGGAAAATCACGCCCAGACATATTTGGGAGTGATTAAAATTCAATTAAAATTGAAAATATAGTCGTTATTGGGTCTTATAATAAAAGTTAACAATAACGACTAGTTTTTCAATTTTAGTCTCTACCGAATACGCCATAAATATGTTATAAAGTACAAGTAGTTCAAAAATCGATTCAAGATAGTTCTTTTAGATGCAATAGATCAAGAACTATACATCATGAGTATGTGAAGTCAATTATGCTACGCTTCTATCATTGATTGACAGCTTTGTTTACTTCATAATGTGGTACACAGTTTTTGCTATTGATTTCAATAATATTTAAAATAATCAATAATCTTGATTTTGTTAAATAAAAAATGTGAAACTAGTTGTACACAATTTCATTTGAATTGGGGTTTGGTTTGATTCGAAATATTCCATATGCAATGGGAACGTTAGATCTCAAAGTCTAAAAAGTACTTACTCCGTCGGGTTAATTACCCCAATAATCACTGAACTTTAAAAACTGCGTAGTTGGTCACTGAACTTTCGAAAACTTTCGGTAAAGTTTAGTAACTTTGCAAAAGAATTCTACGGGGTCACTAAACTTTGCAAAAAGTTTCCCAGATGGTCACTGATCAGTGACCATTTGGGAAACTTTTTACAAAATTCAGTAACGAATGTGGTGATTTTTAAAGTTTAGTGATGGATGAGATTGTAGTTTCGAAAGTTCAGTGACTAACGACGTAATTTTTAAAGTTCAGTGACCTGGTGGAAACTTTCGGTAAAGTTCAGTAATGGATGAGATTGTAGTTTCGAAAGTTCAGTGACTAACGACGTAATTTTTAAACTTCAGTGACCTGGTGGAAACTTTCGGTAAAGTTCAATGACTATTGGAGTAATTAACCCTACTCTATCCCATGAAGATAAATTTATTTTTATTTTCACGTAGATTAAGAAAATATAATTTAAAATATAATTTTTCCTCAATATACTCCTATTTTAAATGATGATATAAATATGAGTAGTTCATATTTGTTGATAATAAAGTACTTTAAATATGGACATATATATATAAAAAAAAAAATAACAAACTCTCAATAAGAAAAGTAACTTATAATTTGAAACAAAAAAAAAAAAAAAAAGCAAACTTTGCTTGACTACAAAGCTGGAGAAATTATTCCATTGGAGGCAGAGATTTTTCTTTATCTTTTAATTTTTATTGTGGAAATTGTGCAAGTTTTCTACAAATGAAAGTCACATTATTGTAATAATCCAAAAAAAATAATTAACTTTTAAATGCTTCATTGTCCACCAATACCCCCATATTTTCTAGTAGAGCGTGGAGATTTTCTTNAATAATTAAAATAAAACATACCAAACATCTAAAATTGTAAATTACTATATTTATTTAATAATTCCTATAATTAGTCAATTATACAATGTTCAAATTTTTGAAATGCAAAAATTAGATTATTTTTTATACTTTTAATTTTCAACTAGACAATAAATTTATAGAAACTTTATACATGCTTTCGAAGTTTTTAACAAAATAATGAGTCTCAAAATCATAATCACATAATTTAGATAATGTCGTAGTAACTCTTTATTAGATAAAATCATTTTTGACTTTTGTACATAAAAAGTCTTTTAAAAACTAGAAATTAAAGTCAAATAGATTTTTAAAAAATAAAAAAATTAATAAATTAAAGTCAAATAAAAGAATTAATAAATAGTGCATAGGGAAGATGAAAAAATCCAATCGTTTAGAAATTGAAAAAAAAGGTGCCTAAACATGAAGTGAGACGTTTTACCCAATCTCTCGCTTAGACAGCACCTAAACGTCGCTTAGACGAACTTTTTTGAATACAGTTGTCGACCATTATAAGTTTTTAATTACACAAGTAACGGCCTAACCATATTACTTCTTTCTTCTTTCTTTTTTAGGCAAAAAGCCTAACACTGACGTGTTCCTACTTCCTTCACGACTAAAACTTTTCGCGTCCTGTGAAGTCAACTTTCTTTGATGGTATAGTCAACTTTTGAGTGCTATAAGTAAAAGCAATGTTGGAAAGTCTTCGATGAGGATTGGTGACTACAATAGCAAAAAATTATAATAACAACAAACTTCTTTTTTCCTTGTCCGGTGAAAATTAGATAAGGCGACAGTCTATAAACACGATATCTCAGCAATATTTATCTATCTGTATGTGGCAAACAACTACCAAAGATGTCCGTAATCTCAGCACTCTATTTCACATCGTCTCTTCCACGTACTTCTTTTCGTGGATCATGTATTTAGATGACTCGCTTAAAATATTATTGTTATCACCTCCTCACTACACAAATCAAGACACTTCAAAAATAAAAAAAATAAAAAATGATGATGTGATAGCTTTGTAATGTTAATGCTAAGTCAAATTATAACTTTTCAACCTAGAAACCACATGACTATGATGGTTATGAATTGACACAATTGAACATAACAAGTGAATCATTAGAACGATGTCACGTGGCAAGCATCCAGAATGGATCTCTTCTACCCGCCACCTCTATATATAAATAAAGGTAATGCTACAGGTACATAACCATTCACATAATGGTTCACATAATTACACGTGGCATGTGATCCTGCCTTTAATTCAACTTTCACACTTAAACATCAATAGGTGGATGATTGCCACGTCACCATTATGTGAACCATTATGTAGAGGGTTATGTACAACTAGATTAATCCTATAAATAATCAGTCATTTCTTATTTAAAGAGAATAGTATAAAAGTGTGATCTAAAATCAGACACCCATATTTTTATGTTTATTGTGTCTCTCCCTCATCCAAAATACTTTAATATCTTATTTGAGCGTTGGAGCACACAAGACCGTTATGCCCCGTCGGAGATGTGATGTGTGCAATATTTCATGATTATCTAAATGTGCATGCGACATACACATGAATGAGAGGGAAGCTGGGATTTGTTGATTGCTTAGTCTCGCCAAAATTTAAAAGTAAACATTTTTTTATCTTTAACCTAGATTGAGATATTTTTTCTTTTCCT